TCACATTTCCTATATCCTCCAATCACGCCTTCACTGTCACAATATTTTACTTGCTTAATCAAATGTGGTCTGTGTGCACTTTTTTTAGCGGCTTTCATGAGAACTCTCCGCACTCCACGCTGGCCTTCTCATCCCCTTCATCCCTGTACTAGGAATGTTGATCAGAGTCTGCAATATTGTTACGCAGTCCTCTTTCCCTAGGTCTTACCCCATTCTCTCTCTTGCCCTGTAAGATCCGTCTACCCTCTCTCTGGTTCACATATTTCACTCAACCCCTGCTACCCCACCTGTGTCAACTTGAGGCGTTATTGACCCTTCCCTGCGTCTAGGTGATTAACTAAAGGCTCAAGCCTCTGAGTAAGTGTCATGATCAGGCCTTTGCCACATGGACCACGTCTCTTATGCAAACTACTGTCAGTTTACTAGCTCCTATCGCTGCCACGTCTATCCTGTTTCTATCTCTAATACCAAGTCTATGACTTCTCATACCCTAGTCTCTTGTGTGCTAACCCACGAATGTTGTGGGTATGCTTGCTTTGACTCGATTCAATTTTAAACCACAACGTTTGTGGGTTGGCACACAAGAGACTAGGGTATGAGAAGTCATAGACTGGCTATTAGAGATGGAAACAGGATAGACGCGGCGGCGATGGGAGCTAATGGACTGACAGTAGTTTTCATAAGGGATGTGGTCCATGTGGCAAAGGCCTGATCATGACACTTACTCAAAGGCTTAAGCCTCGAAATAGTCACCCAGACGTAGGGTAGGGCCAATAACGCCTCAAGTTGACACAGGTGGGGTAGCAGGGGTTGAGTGAAATATGTGAACCAGAGAGAAGGCAGACGGATCTTACGGGGCATAAGAGAGACTGGGGTAAGACCTATGGAAGGAGGACTGCGTAACAATATGGCAGACTCCGATCAACATTCCTAAGCAAATGAAGGGCGGTGAGAAGGCCAGCGTGGAGTGCGGAGAGTTCTCATGAAAGCCGCTAAAAAAAGGGCACACAGACCACATTTG